ACAACTGGTACCAGGGGCTTCGAATGTAAAATTTATTTATTTATTTTTTTGGGTCCGGTCATGGGGTCTGAACTCTGGGCCTGGGCACTGTCCCTCAGCTCTTCAGCTCAAGGCTAACACTCTACCACTTGAGCCACAGCGCCACTTCTGGCTTTTTTCTTTTTGCTTATGTGGTGCTGAGGAATCGAATCCAGGGCCTCACGCATGCAAGGCAAGCGCTCTACCACTGAGCCACTCTCCCAGCCCTCGAATGTAAAAGTGATAGAGTGCTTGCCTAACATGCATGAAGCCCTGGGTTCCATTCCTCAGTACTACATAAACAGAAAAAGCTGTAAGTGGTGCTGTGGATCAAGTGGTAGAGTGCTAGCCTTGAGCAAAAAAGCTCAGGGACAGTGCCCCGGCCTTGAGTTCAAGCCTCAGAACTGGCCAAAAAAAAGATTTCTATACATATTTTGTACTCGTTCTGGGACTTGAACTCAAAGCTTCAACATTGTCCCAGGGCTTTTGCGCTCAGGCTACTGCTTTACTACTTTAAGCCACAGAGCCATTTCCAGCCTTTAGGTAGCTAAGTGGAGATAAGAGTCTCATGGACTTTCTTTTTGTGGTCTGGCTTTGAACTAGGACTGGCTTGAACTGCAATCAAATCCTAGGATCTCAGCCTCTTGAATAGGTAGGTATAAGCCACTAACATTTAGCTCTATATTTTTTTCCTCTATAGAAATAAGTTAATGGAGTCTAGAAATGCCCTGGTTGGCACAAGTGATACCATAGACTGAGGTTAACTATTGTGTTTTCTTTACCACAAGAGGGCACCAATCAGTCAAATCATCCTGCCAGTATGAAACAACACAGACAGCTCTAAGAAATTGTGCTTTTCTTTGACAAAAAAGCTTTGAGCACCTAGCATGCAATAAACATTGGAGTAACTTATATATGATCGTACAATGTATAGTCTTGACAAGCACCTACCATGCCTGTGCCTGAGACAGCCCAGACATGGAGGTGGAGGGTGGGGTTCAATGTGTTATTTTGTGATAGGGATTGTCTTGTCTTCCTGCCCTTGGCTGTGAGTCTGGGAGAACAATTACTTAGTGTCTACTTTGTGTCAGATGGTGTGCTGGTTGCTGAGATACAGGATGAATAAGATACACTTGCAGCCTACTACTAGATAAAATGTCTTTGCGGGTTATGATAAATAGACATGAGCTAGTTCTGTGGAACTGTAGTTCCTCTGACCTGAGAATGCAGAGCCTTGAATACAAAATACACTAACACATGAAGCTGCCAGTCTTCCAACTCAGAGCCATACCCACAGTAGATACTGGGTACTGAGTTTGTAAGTTGATTTGAGCCGAAGGAGCAGCTTCTGCTCTGAAGTGGCAGGTGTATGTTTCAGTGGGGTTAGACTAAGGATCTATCATCCTATAAATTAGGGTGGGGCTATGATGAATTAATGTGGGTGAACTGCTTTGAAGATGAGCTTTCTGCCTCTTTATCTACTCACAGCCTTGCTATTAAAGGTGTCACCATCATCTCTGAGGTTTCCAGGTCAGCAATCTTCTTGTTCCTAAATTGAATGGTGGAGGAAGGGAAGCCAGAACTAAGCATACATCATCATTTTGGGAGGAAGTGCTGCTTTGACTAGGACACACTTCTTCCTTGAGGGGAGCTCTAATTCCAGTGGGGTTTGGTCTCAAGACCTAGACAGGATTGTAGGTTACAGAATGATGCTCTAAATTACAGTTTGTTTCTTAAACCTCATTTATGGTGGCGAGACATCAAAAAAATGAAGGAGTGCTTCTTAAGTTTGGATTATACCACACTTAGTACATACAGCATACAAGGCGGTGGAGAAGAGGAAGAATTAATCTACAGCGGAAGTACCTGACATACTACCTCAGCCAGTAATTAAGGTCAACATAAACAATGCTAAGTCATGTTGCTTTATTATTGGCTTTGATGTGATGTGATGAAAATGGCATTTTACACCACCCTCTTTGATCTTTCCCTTAAAAAAAAAAACAAACACAACCCCAGTCTTACTATGAGAGAAAAAAACCCCACAAATCCTAGTTGAGGAATTGTCTACAAAAACTTTGACCTAAAGCCGGGCACTGGATCATGGTGCAAAGCCAGACTGGGCAGAAAAGGCCGTGAGACTCTTATCTCCAATAAACCACTAGAAAACCAGAAGTGGCGCTGTAGCTCAAGTGTTAGAGTGCTAGCCTTGAGCTGAAGAGCTCAGGGATAGTGCCCAAGCCCAGAGTTCAAGCCCCACAACTGACAAAACAAAAACAAAAACACCCTCACCCCCCAAAAAAAAAACAAAAAAAACTTTGACCTAGCTGAGTCTGGTGGCTAGAATTCCAGCATTCAGGAAGTGGAGGCACAGTATTGTTTGGGGTCCCCTTCGAATATATAGAAACCTTGAGGCTAGTCTGAGCTACAGAGAACATCTGAAAACAAAAGAAAACAAAACTAACCAAGATGATTCAATTTTTTTTAAATCAAGCCAGGTGCTGGTGGCTCACATCTGTAATCCTAGCTACTCAGGATGCTGAGATCTGAGGATTGCGGTTCAAAGACAGCCTGGGCAGGAAACTTCGTGAGACTTATCTCCAATTTACCACTAGAAAACCAAAGTGGCCTGTGGCTCAAAGTGGTAGAGCACTAACCTTGGGCTGAAGAGCTCAGGGACAGCGCCCAGGTCTGGAGTTCAAGTCCCACAACTGACAAAAATAAAAAATAAAATAAAAATCATTAAGAAGAAAACTGAGACAAATGTCAATAAATAGGGAAACTAAATGTGGTTTGGTAGCTTAGATGGAATCCTGGAACAGAAAAATATTGTTAGGTAAGAACTAAATAAATATGACTAAAGGGTGAACTTGAGTTAATAGTAATGTATCAATATTGGCTTATTAATTGCATAAACAGACTATGTAATGTAATAGGGCATCCGGTGCCAGTGACTCACACACATGCCTGTAATCTTAGCTACTCAGGAGGCTAAGATCTGAGGATCAAGATAAGAGTCTCATGGGGGGGGAGAAAAATGAGGGAGGGGACAATAAGTTTGACAAGGAATGTACTATCTTATGTATGTAACTGTTAACCCCTCTGTACAATAGAAAAAGCCATGGCCTTTCCAGCCCATGCTAGCTTTGAAGTGAGATCTTCAAATCTCAGCCTCAGTAGCTAGTGTTATAGGTCTCTGAGCGATTAGCACTCAGCTTAATCTAAAACTTCTCTAAAAATAAAGTGAATTAAAAAAAGAAAAGGTGGTATCCAGAATACAGCTATGCCTTTATTTAAAAAAAAAAAAAAAGTTCCCTTTCTTTTTTTGCTCGTGTACTGAGGCTTGAAATCAGGGCCTGGGTGCTATAACTCCCCCCACCCCTCAAAGTTGGCACTCTACCACTTGAGTCACAGATCCACTTCTGGTGTTCTGCCGGTTACTAGGATATAATAATCACAGACTTTCTTTTTTTTTTTTTTTTCCGGTCGTGGGGCCTGAACTCTGGGCCTGGGCGCTGTCCCTCAGCTCTTCAGCTCAAGGCTAGCGCTCTACCACTTGAGCCACAGTGCCACTTCCGGCTTTTTTCTTATGTGTTGCTGAGGAATCGAACCCAGGGCCTCATGCTTGCAAGGCGAGCGCTCTACCACTGACCACTGAGCCACCTTCCCAGCCCTAATCACAGACTTTCATGCCTGGGCTGGCTTTGAACAGGCAACCGGCTTAAAGTTCCTCTTTATAGATAATTTACCATATATAGTAAATGCTGTACATAGATGATCTCATTTAATCATTACAATTTCTTGTGTTAGGTGTAATTAAATCTCCTTTTAAAGAAGCTGATGAAACAAAGAGAGGTAATATGAATTGGAACAAGGTTCTTTCGGATCCCCAAATGGTGCAGGTGGAACTCTCCCAGTAGCCTGACTTTCCTAGGAAATAATTTCGGCAGTTCAGAACTCGCCTTCCTAAAAGATTCTAAGTCACAAAGACTGAAGACTATGCACGCCTCACTTCAATCACGATTGTTTTTCAAAGTTGCTCAGTTCCTGGTTCAAGCTGAATGGACCTATAGAGGGAGGATCAAAGTCCAAACACAAGTGCTGGCCCCAAACCCCTCTGAGGAGGCCCAGGAACTCAGATGATCTATTTCGCAGTATTTTCTGGTAACTTCTAGTCTTTAAGAAGGGAAGTGGGAGTTTCTCTTTTGGGAACTCGTCCTCCGTGCGGCCTGGTGGATGACTTGCCCAGGGGCACACTGTCTGGCCTGGGGAACTGCATCGGGGGGGGGGGGGGGGGGGAGAGATGTCGGCCAGGCTGGTTCCTGCTTTTCAGATCCACATGGTTTCATCATCATCTCCAAGTCAAGAACGCACAAAGTGCAGGGACTGCAGACCGGGCGTCCTCCAGGGGGGCCCGGAGGCTGGCGGCCGCGGACCCGCAGCGGGGAGGGTGCGGGGCGCTCTAGAACCCGAGGTTCCTTCCGGGACGCGGACGCGCCTGGAGCACCGCGGCGTCGGGCCGCACAACAGTCGCACAGGGGCCGAGGCGATCCCCGTCCGTCCGTGTGGGGGCCCCCGCGGCCGCCAGGCCCGGGAAGGGCGGGGGACACGCGCCCGCGTCACAAAGCGCCGCCACCTTGCGGGCAAGCAGGGAGGAGGCGGGCAAGTGGGAGGAGGAGGAGGAGGAGGAGGAGGAGGAGGAGGACGAGAAGCAGGAGGAGGAGGAGGGAGAGGCGGGCGGCTGAGGGAGGGAGGGGCGCGCGCAGGCGCGTCGGGCCGCAGCCACCGAGAGCCGCCCCCCTCCCGGCGCGCCCCTCCTCCCGCTCTCCCTCCCTCCCGCCTTCCCGCCCTCCCTCCTTCTCGGGCGCTCCCGCGGCGCGCGGCGCTCACGCTCTCCACCTCCGCCCCTCCCCCCGCGCCGCCGCCGCGCCGCCGCCGCCGCCGCTGCCCGGAGACCCCCGCGCCGCGCTCCCCTCCCCCCGGCCCTGCGCGCCCTCCGACCCCGGCGGCCCCCGAGGAGAAGGCGAGGGCGAGCGAGTGAGCGAGCGCGGTGCTCCCGGGTGGGCTCGGCCCCCTCTCCTCATCGCCGGCCCCCACGGTCGCCTTCGTCCGCTTCCATCTCCGCTCCCCCCCCTCCCCTCCAAGTAGAGGCCCCCTCGGGGGGGGGGAGGCCCCGGACCGGGAGCGAATTCCCCGAACTCCCGCCACCTCCCCCCCCCCCCTCCCCGCTCGGCCCGAGTGTGAAGAGCAGGGCCCCGGCCGGCCTGCGTCGAGCGTGAGGAGGACCCCGGGCGGGCCCACGGGCCGTCTGGGGCCTGGTCCCGTCCGCCCGCCGGGCGTGTGAAGACAGGGGCCCGGTGCGCGGCCCGGCCCGGCCCGCGGGCGAGCGGAGGGGAGGGGCCTGGTGCGGCCCGGCCGGTGCGCGAGGACTGGGGCCCCGGCCCCGCACGGCCGCCGCCGCCGCCGCGATGGCCCAGCAGCAGATGACCAGCTCGCAGAAGGCCCTGATGCTCGAGCTGAAATCCCTGCAGGAGGAACCGGTGGAGGGCTTCCGGATCACCCTGGTGGACGAGTCCGACCTCTACAACTGGGAGGTAGCCATCTTCGGACCCCCCAACACCCTCTACGAAGGCGGCTACTTTAAGGTATTCCCCACCCCCCCTCCGAGCCGCGGCTTCCCCGGCCCCAGGCCTCGGCTCCCTGTCGCTTGGGGGCTGTTTTTAAACTGGGCGGGGAGGGGGTTAGTGTGGGCGCAGCCTCCCCCCCCCCCCCCCCCCCCGTGGAGGCAGGAAGGCCTGGCTCACCCAGTGCCTTTTCTTTGTCATGGGGCGGGGGCGGGAGGCCAGGCTGCACCGGGAAACGGGAAAGCCTCCCCCTGGCTGGGGTACTGACTACTGAGCAGAGGATGGCTGTCTTTGTTTTGTTTCTCCAGCTGAGGGGGTTTGGAAAGGGAGATGTCTTCTCCTTCTCGATCTCCCCTCTGGGCCCTCTCTGCGCAAGCTGGAACTGCCCCAGAGGGCAGGGTGACCTGCACTTACTGGATTGGACTTTTTTTTTTTTTTTTTTTAGAGGAGGGGGTAGTGGTGGGAGAGGTGCCTGTTATTCCTGAGGCCCTGACCTTTTGAGTATTCCTTGAGCTTCTTGGGTAGTGAGAGTTCCAACTTTATATTCTAGTGGGTAGTAATGAAAAGGGAGTGATATGTGTGTGTGTGTGTGTGTGTGTGTGTGTGTGAATATATGTATATCAAGGTGCTGCGTTTTCTTGCCAATCTCCATCGGAGGGAACTTTAATTTAGCTTTCTTTCTGGTCTTACTCTACATTTACCTCGGTCAGTGCTTCTTTTCAATAATGCCCTTTGTCCTCACCCCGCCACCAAGTTTACTAGCTTTTATTTATTTCCCCTTTTGGAGAAACATCCACAAAGGGTGGATCATGACATGTTGGAGAGATTATTCAGTTTCTCCCTTTAGGGAGTTAACTCCACCAGAATGGGGTCAGCTCACAGATGAAAAGTATCTTAGAGGAGGCGATTCTTGGGGTGAGATGGCTCCTGAGGCAGGCATTGTAGACATTGTTTCTATTGTTTTCCATGAATTATTCTGGAATCCAGTGGTTTTTGTTCTAACTCCAAGGTAGATAACTTGGAGATGAATGATTTTATTTTTCCTTCTTTTTTTTACTTGAGCATATTTGCAGGGTGGGCTCCCAGTCTGAAGATTAGAATGTTTTACATTGTGGGGACAGAGCTAGAGGAAATGAATGTTAAGGAATTATTTATTTTTTTTTAATTTCCAAAATTAAGTAAAAGAGGCCAGTGAGTCAATTTTAGTTTGTTTTGAAGGGAGGGGTTATTTTGGCACAAGTTTTAAACGAGTTATCTTAGTCATGTAGTTGTGATGTGTATTTTTAGGACTACCCAATTACTTAACTCTTATTTTCTACCCTTCAAAAGGTATAAGCTTCTGTTTCTGGCTTCAAATTGGGTCAACTTTGTTTAATATTTATGTCTGTGATAGTCACTGAATATCTAGTAAAAAGACATTTTTAGGATATTATGTAAGAGTTGTATCCTTACCAATTATTTGCTTCATTTTTGTGGTCAGCATACACGTATGCTTTTCAGTTGGAGATATTTAAAATTACTAAGTAAAGGTACAAGTTATTAGTGACAAAGTAATAGAAGATAGGAAAGATATTACCCTATCCATGTTAAGACACATACTCTATTTAAAGATGCTGGAAATAGTCACAAATGGAATTTGTTTTGACTTTTCTAACAATTTTTTTAGTAAAATCTACTGGCCAACTTTTGTGGATCAAGTTTAATTTCCAACAAGTATTTTTTAGTCAGGTGCCAGAAGCTCACCCCTGCAATCTTAGCTACTCAGGAGGCTGAGATCTGAGGCTTATGGTTTGAAGCTAATCTGGGGAAGAAAGTCTGTGAGACTCTTATCTCCAGTTAACTACCAGAAAAGCCAGATGTGGATCTGTGGCTCAAGTGGAAGAGTGCTGTCCCTTGAGCAAAAAAGCTCAGGGACAGGGCTCAGGCCCTGAATTCAAACCTTAGGACCAGCACGAAAAAAAGTATTTTGTTTGGGACAGCTAACACTAAGGTAAATAGTACTAGTTAGATAATAATATTACTCCATAGCAGTTTGTTAAAAACAAAGCAAATATATGTGAAAGAAGGGATTGGAAATTAACATATTTTGCCTAGTATTTAATTGGTAACAGAGCATAGCAAACCCTCCTTAATGTGAAATTGGTAATACAGAAGATACTCCCTATTCTGTGTTACACTGATTTAGAATGCTTGCCTAGCATACTGGAGGCCCTGCCCTGGGTTTGATCTATACATAGACACACAGACACACACATTTAATAATGTGATAATTTTCATTTTCTTTAGTAGTTTATTGGGAAGAAGAATTTCATGCTGGGCGCCGGTGGCTCACACCTGTAATCCTAGCTACTCAGGAGGCTGAGATCTGAGGATCTCGGTTCAAAGCCAACCCTGGGCAAGAAAGTCCTTGAAACTCTTATCTCTAATAAAACCACAGAAAACCGGTGCTGTAGCTCAAATGGTGGAGCGCTAGCCTTGAGCTGAAGAGGTGAGGGACAGGGCCCAGGCTCAGAATTCAAGCCCCACGACTGACCAAAAAAAAAAAAAATCACAGATTTTTCTGCCAGGGCTGGCTTTGAACTGGGAGCCTCAGATCTCAGAATCCTGAATAGTGAGTATTACAGGAGTGAGCTGTTGACACCAGTTTTAATTCGTGTTAGTTTTGTTTTGAATTTTGGGGGTTAGAGATTGAACCAGAGTCTTTCCTGCTCTTCCTGCTTTACCTTTGATTTTTAAATATGCTTTATATTTTTGTTTTGTGTGAGAAATTTGTTAAGTTGCATTTCTTATATTTTGTCCCTATTGTATTGCCTTTTTTTTTTTTTTGCCGGCCATGAGGCCTGAACTCTGGGCCTGGGCGCTGTCCCTCAGCTCTTCAGCTCAAGGCTAGCGCTCTACCACTGGAGCCACAGCGCCACTTCCGGCTTTTTCTGTTTATGTGGTGCTGAGGAATCGAACCCAGGGCCTCATGCTTGCAAGGCATGCACTCTACCGCTGAGCTACCTTCCCAGCCCCTATTGTATTGCCTTTTATCTGATTAATCCTTAGCTGAAAAAAGGCAAATTCATGGTTATTGTTTTTTATTTCACTGTTTTTGTCTTAAAACAAGGCTTTTAGTGTATTCCATTACAGCTGCAGTTAAAAGTGGCACAGGCTGGGTGCTGGTGGCTCATTCCTGTGCAGGAAAGTCCATGAAACTTATCTCCAGTTAACCACCAAAAGCTGTAAGTGGAGCTGTGGCTCCAAGTGTTAAAGCACTAGCAAAAGAAGCTCAGGGACAATGTCTAGGTCCTGATACCCCTCCACCCCACATGCACACAAAGATGGCACAGATTTTTTTTTTTTTTTTTTTTGATCAGTCTTGGGGCTTGAACTCAGGGCCTGGGTACTGTCCCTGAATTTTTGTGCTCAAGGCTAGTGCTCTATTACTTGGAGCCACAGATCCACTTCCTGTTTTCTGGTGGTTAATTGGAGATAAGAGTCTTCCTGTCTTTCCTGCCAGGGCTGGCTTTGATCCAAGATCCTCAGAACTCAGCCTGCTGAGTAGCTAGGAGTTATAAATGTGAGCCTCCAGCTCCTAGCTTGTGCAGCTCTTATCAAATAATATAGTCTGTTTTCAAATTAAACTTAACCACTGTATAAGACAGTCTCTTGAAGGCATTGGGGCCATCTGTCATTCTTTAAATTTTTGATCAACTACTCTAGCTTGAAGATATTCATAGATTATTAATTGATCTTTTTCATCATAAAATGACTGGTTTAACCATTGTGATCTGTGTTGGGGACAGATTTCTCAGAATTTTCATGATTTCTCAGAATTTTTAGTATTGTCCTGTTATTTTCTGTTATGATGTGATTCTTAGCTTTGTGTTGGCTGGTAATGGGTACATATGGACAAAAGTAGTTTCTTTGTCATATTATTAAAAAAATCTTATTAGTGCTTGTATTTGTAAAGGGAAATTTCTTTTTTTTTGCCTTTTTTATTTTTTTGGTCAGTCCTGGGGCATGGGTGCTATCCCTCAGCTCTTCAGCTCAAGACAAGTGCTCTACCACTTGAGCCACAGAGCCACTTCTGGTTTTCTAGTGGTTTATTGGAGATAAGAGTCTCACGGCCTTTTCTGCCCAGTCTGGCTTTGCACCATGATCCTCAGATCTCAGCCTCCTGAGTAGCTAGGATTACAGATGTGAGCCACCAGTGCTCGGCAACCTATTATTATTATTATTATTATTTTGTTGTTGTTGTTCCTGAGTTCTTCAGCTCAAGGTGAGCGCTCTACCACTTGAGCCACAGTACCACTTCCGGGTTTTTCTGCTTATGTGGTGCTGAGGAATCGAACCCAGGGCCTCATGCATGCAAGGCAAGCACTCTACCACTGAGCCACCTTCCCAGCCTCCCCTGAGTTTCTTTTACTCAAGGTTACTCTGGTGGTTAATTGGAGATGAGGGACTTTCCAGTCCAGCCTGGCTTTGAACCGCGTGATCTTCAGATCTCAGCCTTCTGAGTAGCTAGGATTACAGGTGTGAGTCACCAGCACTGACTTTAAAAAAAATTTTTTTTTTTGCCAGTCAGGGCCTAGGCACTGTCCCGAGATTCTTTTTTTGTTGTTGTTGTTGGTTGTGGGGCCTGAACTCTGGGCCGAGGCGCTGTTCCTCAGCTCTTCAGCTCAAGGCCAGTGCTCTACCACTTGAGCCACAGCACCACTTCCGGCTTTTTTTCTTTTTGCTTATGTGGTGCTGAGGAATTGAACCCAGGGCCTCATGCATGCAAGGCAAGCGCTCTACCACTGAGCCACCTTCCCAGCCCCCCCCCCCCCCAGTTTCTTTTACTCAAGGTTAGCATTCTACCACTTGAGCCACAGTGCCACTTACAGCCTTTCCTGTTTATGTGGTATTGAGTAATTGAAGCCAGGGCTTCATGCATGCTAGGCAAGCACTCTACCTCTAAGCCACATTCCCAGCCCCTCTGTTGTTGTTGTTTGTTTTTTGGTATGCTGGTCCTAGGGCTTGAATTCAGAGGCTAG